GCGCAAGTACAAAAAGGATATGACCGACAACAAGCGAGCTCTGCGTCGACTGCGCACAGCCTGCGAGCGTGCCAAGCGTACGCTGAGCTCGAGTACGCAAGCCGGTCTGGAGATAGACTCGCTGTACGACGGTATTGACTTTTACACGTCGGTCACGCGAGCCCGCTTTGAGGAGCTGAATTCCGATCTATTCCGAAACACTCTGGAGCCCGTGGAGAAGGCGCTGCGTGATGCAAAGTTGGACAAGGCGTCTATTCACGAGATCGTGCTTGTGGGCGGGTCAACACGCATTCCGAAGATCCAGAAACTGTTGCAAGACCTGTTCAGTGGTCGTGAACTGAACAAGTCGATCAACCCAGACGAGGCGGTGGCCTACGGAGCTGCAGTACAGGCGGCAATTCTGCACGGAGACAAGTCGGAGGTGGTGCAGGACTTGCTGCTGCTCGACGTGGCGCCCTTGTCTCTGGGCCTGGAGACGGCGGGTGGCGTGATGACGGCTCTGATTCGACGCAACACGACAATCCCGACAAAGCAGACGCAGACATTCACCACGTACTCGGACAACCAGCCAGGAGTGACGATCCAAGTGTACGAGGGTGAACGCGCGTTGACTCGTGACAACAACCTGCTGGGCAAGTTCGAGCTGGCTGGCATCCCGCCGGCTCCACGTGGCGTACCTCAGATCGAGGTGACGTTTGACGTGGACGCGAATGGCATCCTGAACGTGTCTGCAGTGGATAAAGTCACCGGAAAACAGAACAGGATCACCATCACCAACGACAAGGGTCGCCTCTCGAAGGCGGACATCGAGCGAATGGTCTCAGAAGCGGAAAAGTACAAAGAAGACGACGAGAGGCAGCGCGAACGCTTGGCGGCAAAGAACGCGCTGGAGAGTTATGCCTACTCGATAAAGCAGACAGTAGGGGATGAGAAATTGGCAAACATTTCTGACACGGATCGTCGACGTGCCTCTGACAAGTGTGACGAGACAATCCGTTGGCTGGACGCCAACCAGTCTGCCGAGAAGGAGGAATTCGAACACCATAAGAAGGAGTTGGAGCGCGTGTGTGCTCCGATAATGAGCAAGTTGTATCAGTCTAGCACAGGAGCTGGTGACACGTCTGGCGGTCGAGCGCCTTATTCAAACGGCAAAGGACCGACGATTGAAGAAGTGGATTAATCAGCACATCTCGTCTCCACGCTTTCGCCTCCACCTTTACTTCCCACATGAGACACGGTCGCTTTATCTTCCTCCCACCCCTGTTTCTCTTGCGACTCTGCATCCTTAGGCCAGACCTAGTGGCTCTCGTTGTTTCATTACTCCACACGGTTTGTCCGCCAATCATCCTTTCCAATAAAGTTTTATGGTGGTGTACTTTCAGTCTCTTCCTCTCCCTAGGCTCCTGGCCAGTGGCGTCCAGCAACCTGATAGCTGCGTGTTCATCTTCAGCGGAGCTATTTGAATCGCTTCTCCTCACCTTACATCGTTTGTGATCGTAGAGTTTTGGGACATTTTTAGGTGGCTGCCGAGCAGGTTGTCAGTCCATCTCGTAGTTTATCATTCATAGTTTGAAGGAAATTGAGACAAGTTCGATTGGTCTTATTTTCGCGTCGCTAATGTGAGACACGAAGGTCAGGGGTGATCGTTGGGTGTTTGATTTTTCACTCCTCTTCTCTCCCTGGAGGCCATTATTCCGACTGGTCATGCTTGATTGCTTTGCCAAGCTGGCTGCTTTGGGAGTCCCCTCTTTACAGACTGACTCCATCACGGAGGCTAGTCAAGCTGTCCGCTTGCCATAAGTAACTCAGTCGTTAGTTGTGATGACTGATGGCCAAGGGTTGCTCGATGTTGCAAGTAGACAACTCAGAGGTCATTCAGGGAGCTTAGATTCCGTGGTATTTACGAAGAGTGGTTGAGTTTCGATGAATCATCACATTTAAAAGTCTTGTGTATAATCATTTTTTCGGAATGGGAAAAATCGAAAGAATTGTTGATCGATCTTATCTGAAGTTGATGGTTTATTGTTAGGGGGACCTTCATTTCGAATGAAAGTTCATGAAGAAGATATTCGTTGGTCGATCTCATCAGATGAGGATGGATGAAACGCGTTGTACTGCAGCCGTTTGGCTTTATACGATATTCATGTCGACCAACGAATCTCTTCTCCATGCACTTTCATTCGAAATGAAGGTCCCCCTAACAATCTTATCTCAGGAGATTCATCGTAACAAACTTTCTCTTCTTATCTACTATGATGCTTCTGTCTGATTGTTTTTAGTCATTTGGATTTAATATGACCTTCAAACTTATGCTTTTTCAAGTTATACCCTCGTTTCGAGTGTAAACAAGATGATCCTTCCTTAGTCATTTTTCTGGCATTCCCAG